TTTTTCACGTCTAACTAATTTTAATTGTTTTACAAGTTGTTTTATTGTGTAAGAATCCATTAAATATATTTCATATTTTGCCTAAAATTATACAAAGCATTATCCAAAACAATAACTCTATTTCTTTTTAATTTAGGTAGTAATTGCTGCTCAAACCACTTTTCAAACAAAGTACAATATCTTAAATATAATCTGAACAACGATCACTTACACTGTCAGCAGAGAGTAATAAAGTATTCTACCCATCCTGATTTTCTTCCAAAATGTAAAATACAAATTCTCTTCCCTCTAAAGGAACTGGTGACACAATTTTTACTTCCATCGGTCCAACATTTTTTAACTATATCGTGGGTGTCAAACCAAGTTTCATCCAAATATTACAAGTTCTTGCCTTCACTCCTAAAAGACCTTGGACTCTCCAAATAATGGAACCTCCACTTTATTAAACAGCTGGATTCCATAATTACCTGCCGTTTATTCACTGTTTTAATATAAAACATTAGATTTTAAAAACCTCCAAAAAGTAGTTTTACGACATTCGGGGATTATTTCCTTGTTTCTTAATTTACTCAAAAGTTATTTAAAGTTGGTAAGTTATTCTTCTTCCATGACCGTAAGTTCCATGACCGTTATCGATCGTTGGATATCATTTTGGCTACCATATTCGCTATCGTGACTTTATTGACAGCAGCTCTAAATAACGATGTAGCTGATTTTCCATACCATTGCCTTAGATTTTTCAGCCATGATGGTCTTCGTAAGTTATTCACTGAATACATATGATATATTGTTTTCCACATAGCTGATAAATGAAAATTCGGTATTACTCGATGGGCAACATAATCCTTTCTTTTTCTTTTTTTTTGCAACACTGCACCATCTTGTATAAGTTAGAATCTAGTGGATCGTGGCACTTCTGTCAAAAAACTCTTTTTTTTTTGGTCGCTTCTGATGGTACCATCGTCAAAAGAAGACCTAAAAAATATGTACTTTTACATTTTAAGGAATTCTGCTCGGAATTCCGTATTTTTTTATGAATTATTTAATCAGTAAATATGATTAACCTTCCTAATACCGGGTGAGGCGCCCCAGGTCTAATGTTTTTATTAATATCTGTAATTAAGTTTAATCAATCGCTTTGACAGAATACATAAAACAGAAAATTAAATATTCTCGTCGGATTTCGCCGAAATTTATGTTTGGCGACCCCGGATTTATATATTAGCAGTTGATTGTAGTGTTTCCTTTATCTTTGAAATTCCATTCTTGCTATTACATAGTTGGAGCTTTTATACTTTTCCTATTAGCATATTCCTATCTAGATTTTTCAAAGTATTACTTTGTAGTTGGGATTAACACTCTAAGAATTTGTAACTTATATCTTATAACTGCTAAAATTATCTGTTTCTTTGGTGAGTTTCTTAATGTGACTGTCTTCTGTCTTTGATTTTTAATTTATTGAATTGGTACTAAATAAAGTAAACAGACAATTAAGAGTTAAAAAAAATGGTAAGAATAATGAGATACATAAAACCCTTTCGCTTAAAACTGAACCGTACTACTGGGGCGAGAAGTCAACCCACCTGGTACTGGTCGTTTTAAAATTCACCCGGTATTAGAGATATTTTTAAACGAGTACTTACCGTTATAAATGTTAAGCATGATTTTATTTACATCGTGTGTGAGATATATATATATATATATATATATATTTATATATATATATATATATATATTATATATATATATAATCAGAACGTTTTTTCAGGTTCAGACTCGTTTCACTTTCTGAAATAGTGGCAGAAATGTACAGGATATCTTCACTAATCATTTCGATATCACTCATATTTATAGTTATTACACTGACTTTTCCTCTAAATGAACGACAAAAGAAAAACTTTGATATTAAATAAACATTATCCTTTTACCTGAATAAAATTCCAAGAAATTTTTCATCCTCTTTAATTAAATTTCTTTGCTAAAATATTTATTTACCACTCGTTAATAACTCTACTATAGTTTATTTTTATGAACGAGAGAGTAATTAGCATAATTTTAACTGGTACCTTCGACCACTCCATGGGCGTGCTCAAGATTAATTGAAAAATTACTTTGAATAATTGTAAAAAATAAATGAATTACTTTAGTGTTATAAAGTGTTATAAGTATGTAAACAAAAGTGACCTTTTTATCACACACTATATTAGAACTGACTGGCCTACATTAAAAAGGGTTTTAAAAAATTCACATTTTTTTAATTTTTAAAAATTACAAAAGAGAAAGAGTTTTTAAAACCGTCTAAGGTATGTTAAATAGATGAATAAAAATATTAATATAAAACTTACAGCTACTTGTTACAAATCCAAATCAGATTCAGAAGATGAATTTTCCGAACCAAGATTTATAATAACTGGGTCGATCATTTTATCAGTAATATTGTCCAGCTTCCACATTTTTCCTCTTATTTAATAGTATGATTTATTGCCTTTTCCCAGTTTTCAGGTTTTACATTATTTACGGCCTCCAAAAACAACTGTTTAACATCATGAATTTTACAAGTGGTATTTTTTCTTGAAACTTCACTCTTTATCTGAGCCCATACCAGTTCAATCGGGTTTAATTCACAATGATATGGTGGTGATCTAAGTACTGCCATTCCACGATTTTCGGCAATTTCATCAATTTCGTATTTTTTAAATTTTTCTTTATGAAGGGCACACAACGAATAAAGTTCCTTTCTTATAGATCTGGGATGGTACGTAATATTTTTTGAACTCAGCCAATTCTGCAAGTCTTTTTTTAACCACTTGGTTGTGGGCAGTCCTTCTATAAGTCTGGAGTGATAACTTGCATTATCCATTACTATTACACAGTTCTTAGGAAGAAGATCTATCATTTGTTCGAACCATTCTTGAAAGACATCAGCGAACAGTTTCATCCTGCCAAAATTTATTTGATGTATGACCCTCGTTGATCCATGTTTCATTAGGATAAAATATTTTTTTTTTGGTTTCTCATTTCCTTTATGGTTCTTAGAAAATGTCTTCTCCATATGACAATATCGCTTCTTTCTAATAAAATAGACTTTCTGGGATTCTTTTTCCAGTGGAAGCCTATTTCTTTTAAAAGTTTCCATAACGTACTTCGACTCATTTCTGGGTTCTCCTAATCATCTCGAACTGAGACAAGAACTTTATCCAATGTTGGAAATTCTTGTCTAAAGAAGAATTCATGCACTTTCCGTCGAAGTCCCTCTTTAAAATAATATTCTATTTGAAATTTTGGGTTCCCTGGAGCATTACGTGGCATTTGAAAACTACCACATTTCTCTTCTTTAATAACTCTGTAAATCGTAGATTTCCCAACACCAAGTGTACTGCTAACTAACTCAACGGTCTCATCAACACTTTCACATAAACGTTTGTCTGTAAATGATTTAAAACAATTAAATATTAATGTTTTTTCATTAACTGTTAAAGGACCAATTTTTCGACGTTTACACGGCACTTCCAAATTTTCCATAACACTAGTATACACAATAAACTGCACCTTGCAACTGAAGTACCTACTTTTAGTGAACTGTTAAGAATTTTGAATACGCCACTTGGATCTTCCTACAAAATGGAAAAACCCACTATCACATTTTCTGTGGAATAAGTTTAGAAGGTAATTATCTAGTCAATTACTGTCGTAGATTCCTGGAATTAAAGAATTAAATGTTTGATAGTTGAAACCCTTACTTCGTCGAATGCACTCATTTCACATAAAATAAAACGTTTTATTTTATCTAAAGAATTAAACTTTATTTTGCAAATAGGTAGTTACTTATTAAACTTTTATTGGTTATATATAACCAATAAAATAAACATGTTACATTTTTTGCAAGTTCATTAGTACCTGTTAACCTCCATCACTCCGACACTGGCAACCTTATTTAGGGATTAGTAACCCTCACAACTATTGTGTTCTATTCTGCTCCAACCTTTATACCTGGTGGTCATACTCAATTTAAAATTTTTTTCCTATATACTTCTGTAAACTTGTTGACAAATATCTGTTTTTCATTGAGTCACCCGTATCAACAGTTTAGGGATTTGCATACATAATTTATTGTTTTATTACTCTCTCATACATAAAAATAGACTATAGTTGTTGAAATACGTAACTAGCTACACCTACTTTGTATCATTTAGTGAAGTACCTTTAAACTTTGGATTAAATTTAAAAGTAAACCTAATGTAACGAAAGACTAAGGGTGACTATTCGTTACAGCAGGGAGTACAGTCATTTTATGCTTGATATGGGCCCAGTCTCTTAATCTTGGGAATTCCATCCAAATTATCTTGAAACGGATAGTATTCAAAAACCAACTATATATTACATTAAAAATCGATCGATTAAATATTTAGCAAGTAATGGAGAAAAATTATTTTATTATCGAACTATGAAGTTACGAACAAAGAAGTATAAAGTACTATATATTAATACAATAGCAGAATGGCTTAAGAAAAATATTACATTAGTAATGAATGATCTATCCATCAGAATGGGACATGGCTTTATCAAAAGACGGCGATTATTGGAGACTGCAGAAATTAGAAGGATAACAGGAAATACGCTAAAAGATTAAAAACAAAATTAGGTCATGCCAAGTAAATGTGCTGTATCGGAAATAAATAAGTAGGGAATGATAAGTAAAAATCAATCACATAAGACAAATGGAGAAGGCTTAACTGGTGAAAATGACAGAAGACAAATTACTCAACAATATAAGTATGGGCAAATTATGCAAAATAATTCCCTGTTCCATATAAATAAATATTCCATAAAGGTATTAATCCACATGTGAACAAGAATAATAGTATAAGGGGTGAAAGTATAAAAAGAATAACATGAGTGTGCAAAATTTAAAAATTATTTACTAAATATTGTCTTTGATTTTATTTTTACATAATAAATTAAAATAATTTACAACATAAAATAAACTTTAATAAGACCGTAAAGTTAAAATTTGTTTATTTAGGCAGATACCTAGTTATATACATTATTTTACACAAGGTTTAAAAGTATCTACTAGAAAACTCTCAGAGGTATGCATATAAAATTATTTTGGATTTAACCTTCCGCTACTGGTACATCTTCTCCTTCTTCACCTTCAGCTTCTTCCTCTGTGGGTTCTTCTTCAGGTACATCTGATTCTGGTTGGACTTCTTCTGTAACTGATTGTTCCGCTTGTGGTAAGTCTCCTTCAGGAGACGGATCAGGCACAAAAGTAGGAGCAGGATTTGGTGAAGGAACTCCTTCAGTTGCTGGACCATATTTTCCAGCCACAGCAGCAATTAACGCAGCTCCAATTCCGCTACCATCTTCAGAAAGTAAAATGTTAAACTTGTATGGATCCGGTTTCAAAAGCATTTCTACTTGTGACATTAATATATTATGAAAGTGGGGATGATTTTTGTAAAGTGTTCCATCTATTCCTATTGTCGTTTTGGGATAAGCCATCCTTCGTATTAAAACTGTAATGAGACACGAAACTAATACGGCAGCTCTTCTTGAAAAACACTGGCATAGGTATTTAATATCATGATAATCTTGTTGAGTTGCATGCGTCATTCCCAAACTGTTAATAATATCTTTTACATTAGTAAACACACCTGGTGGATCAGCTTCAATCTCAGAAACAAATCTAGTTTCAAATTTATCGGGTGTTTTAAAATCATCAGAAAGTTTACCTCCAAATAGAATTCCTTCGTTGGTAAATCTAACTGCTGCTAGTCTAACTAGTTCTCCAAGATACATACCTGATATCATTTTTTCGTGTAACTGTCGACCAGCATTTATGGATCTACCGTCAACGTCTCTATCGTATTGAGTTCTTAAAAAATCTAATGCACCATCGTCACCAAAAGCTCCAGATTCCATGTTTATAATAACGTTTCCAGAACCTCTGTCTGGTTCATCAAACAGTTCTGCATTAATTTGTTTCTCCACATAGCAACCATTGGTACCGGTACCAACAATAAGGCCTATTCTTGTATCTAAATCTTTAAAAGCACATGCCATAAGAGTACCTGTAGTATCGTTTAGAACTGCAACTATGTTAATTTTTACATCTCCTCTTCTGGCAATAGCATCGTTTAACAATTGTACTACATCTTTACCAATTACACCTTCGCAGCTAAAGCCTTTCGTCCAGCGTTCTAATATACCAACCTTAAGCCCTCTTTGCTCTAGTGGAAAACTGAAAGTAAAACCTAAGGGAAGGTTATCGTTAGGGACTCCTTTTTCTTTAGTGTATTCTGCTAAGCATTCAGCAATAAAATCAAATAATTGATCACCAGGTCCTGTCATGATTTCTTGTGGTATACTATAAACTTTTTGATCCATTGTGTACTTCCTGTTGCTAATTTCTACCAATAAAACTCTGAAGTTACTGCCACCTAAATCAAGAGCTAAATATTTTCCACTTTCAGTACCATCTGGCAGATCTTGAACATATGTTGGAAAACATTTTACAATAGAACTGGGATGTGTTGATTTTTTTAAACCTCTTTCAATATTTTCAAGAAATGCCTTCATATACGTTTTCATTTTGTCGTCTGTAATAATAAGCTCTTGACATTTTTCTTTTATTTCTGGTCGAACAGGAATCATCTCCATACCCCGCAAATGTGGTGGATTGCATACTGCACTTTTACACTGTGTGGCCATATTATATATTTCAAAGCTATAATATTTATAAAACTAGAATTTTGAACATTATAAATTTAATTAAAATTATTTGACATGACTGTCATTAAAAAACAGCATAGTCGACTTTTAATATTTTCCAAAATGTAATTATTTTGAAAGGAGTTGTAGTCCATTGAAATGTTACATTTTTTATGTCTTATTTTTTGATACGTTGGAAGATTAAGTATACGCTTAAGATAAAGTTTGTGGTGTCGCTACCTTTGTCCCCGGCCCTCATTTTCGAAAATAGGAGAAAGGGTTTTCGCGCTGTATCTCATATACTAGTAACCCTACAAAAATTTTCATTAAACATTATTGGTAGCAAAAAAAATGTCTTCCACTTTATTTTCATTTCTTTTAATCGTAAAACGAAAAATAAATAGTTTTAAACAAAAATATCTAAAAATTTTAAACAAAAAATTCCTTTTGTTCTTTATACCTTTTTTTGGAAGTTTTAGAATAAAATTACATAAGAGCAATATCGTTTTTTTTTGTATAACACCTGTATGGTGTTTGTATCAGGTTACAAATTACCAATAATTATCAGTTATTTTCTGACCTATCTTAATAATCAGCAAATAATTAAATCTAAGAGCTTACCCTATGGCTTACTCTTAATTTATGTATAAACTAATGCACTACAACTAACATGAAATAACATCACAGCACTACACTCTGCTTTTTACACTAAACTGTTTCACATTTACACCAGCTCAAATGTTTTTGTCCCTATAAGTCTTCTCTTTAGTTCAGTGTTGTCAACAAGCTGGATTGCCTCGACATCCACATGACTATGCAACCTCTGCTCGTGACTTGCTGCTGTTCTCTCGATTACTTCGGTCACAGTTTCCATACTCAGGTCTTGGTGAAGGTTGCTGTTACGGATATACCAAGAGGCATCAACAATGTTGATGTAGATTACTAGCTTTGGTACAGCCCCAGAGCTGGCACCCATATACCCATACTGGCCTCAGTATGCTGGCCTTATATCTAATATCAAGTTCCCCTATTTTCTTTTCAACAAGGATTTGTCAGCGCAGCCTCACTGAGGTCAGGTCTGAGGTGGTACCCAAGTATTTTGCTGATGTTGCATAGGTAACTTCTCCTTCTTCTTTTTATATAAACATGACTCTGTCTGTTTTTCAATTTGCCTCTAGTATGTTGTCGTTCCATCGTTTTCGTGGTCTTCCTACTGATCGTCTTCCTATTGGGGAACCGTCTCTTGCCGTCTCTACTACTCTATTTGTTGTCATTCGGCTTGAATGTTTCATTCAACTCTTCTAATTTTTACCCAGTTTTTAATGTTCTCCACCTTGCATCTATGTCATATATCTATACTTCTAGCTCTGTATCATAGTGTGTTACCATCAATTTTTTCAAGTGTTTTCATTTCTGTTGTTTCTAACATCCGTTTTGTCCTCTCTGTGTCAGGTCTTGTTTCTGCCGCGTATCTTATTATTGGTCTGATGATTGTTTTGTAAATTCTGCCTTTTGGTTCTCTCATGATATTTTTATTGCTCCATAATATTTCATTTAATCAGCCTGCGGCTCTGTTTGCTCTATTCACTTGATATTCCCGTTTATTGTTATAGAGATCACGAATATATCATTTTCACAGCTAGACTCATCAAGGCGCACGTCTTGTATTTCTTTGCTATTTCTTGTATTTCCTTACTACTTTTATCGTATTGTAATTATCCATACGCTAAATAAATAACTTGATATTCCACTTCGGTTTCGAGCTTTCCGCAGCTATATAATGTGATGCATAGGTATTTAAACTCCATCATTTGTTCTATTATCTGACCTTCCAGCTCCAATTTACATCTTTTGTAACCATGTAACCAATTTGTTGTTGTAACTATGCATTTTGTCTTTGTTGAAGAACTAACATGTTAAATTTTCTAGCGGTTATATTAAATTGATGCAGCATACGTTGTAAATCATCTTTACTTTGAGAGAATAGTATTGCGTCGTCTGCATAGTAGATTATTTTAAGTTGTTTTTCTCCCATTTGGTATCCTTTTTTTTGTTCTTACATTTTTTATTCTTCCATCCATAATCAAGTTAAACAATAGAGCACGCATGGAATCTCCCTGTCTTATCCCATTGCCAGCCTCAGTAGGGTCGGTTAGTTCTTCCTACTAATCGCAAAAACAAATATTGCTAAAAGAAACAATGTACAGTCTCGGAACCGGCATAAGTAACTTGGGTATCATTTATTCTAACTAGGAAATTTTTTCTGTTTTTTTATTTGTTAATTTAATGTATGCAGATTTCGTCTTATTTAATTCTATTCGCCATTTTCTGGTCTAGGAATGTATTCCATTAATTGATAGTTGCAAATTATCAGTCGCTTTTTCACTAGTGTTTTCTATAGCTAGTATGGCTGTATCATCCGTGAAGGTGGCAATAGTGTTTTGTTCTTGCTCTGGAAGATCACACGTATATAATAAGTACAGGACCGGACCTAATAAACTCTTCTTCAAGAATAACTTCTTCTTGTTTTACTTTAAAATATCTATTCGCAATGTATGTTTCTAAGATTTCTGAATACCCTTTAGGCATTAATTTTCTTATTTTGTATTTTAAACCCTCATGCCAGACTTTATCAAACACCTGTGCTACGTCCAAGAAGATTGTGGAGCAGACTTTCTTTTCTTTCAATGTTTTTCTTTTATATTATATTCATTATTCTGTGAACTTGATCTATATGGAATTCTTATTTCTGAAACCAAATTAATGATTTGGTATCAGTTTATATCTTTTTATTACTGGTTTTAATCTTTTTAATAGAAGTTTTTCAAACAGTTTTGACATCACAAGAAGTGATATTGGACGATAGGATGTCACTTCATTAGGAGGTTTACCTGGTTTGACGATCATAATGAATGCTACTTTTCAGAGTCTCGGAACATATCTTAATTTAAAAGCAGCATTTATTTGGTGTGTCAGCTTAACTATGGCTGTTCTTTGTAGATGTTTTAATAGTTCTCCTGTTATGAGATCACATCCCGAAGCTTTCTTAGGATTTGTATTCCCTTTTATCTCTGCTGATACTTTTCTAAATGATGTAATCGTTATTTTTTCTTCGGTTTGGAATGGTCCTCTCATCTCAGTTCTTCGCCATCATTGTCGTTGAATTTAAACGTGCTTTCTAAATGATCTGCAAATAGTTCTACTTTCTACTCATTACTTATAGCCTAGTTGTCATTTTCCAATTTATAGGCGGAGAATGAATAATTGGTATTTTCATTCTTTTTGTTGTCTTAAATAACGAATAATCTGTATTCTGGACAGCTATTAAATTACTTAAAAAAAATCAATTGTTGAATTTTTTATATTCTCAATCTCCCTTTATAGTTTTTGTGTAACTTTATTTAGACTAGTTTTGTCTCGTGGAGCTTTATATTGCTGCTATTTTTTTCTTAACTTTTTTATTTCTATTATGATTTCTCTGATTTTTTTTGGATAGTTATTCCCTATTGTTCTAGAGGATATTGTGGAAGTATTAGCTACCTGTGTCGGTCAGATAGCTCAGCGGGTTGTGCGGCTGCCTTTCATTCGCTTTACTGTCGAATGGTTCAGTGGATGTGGGATCGAGCCCCAGCTCGGTGTACAGAAAACAAAAAGTCTAACGCAGCAGTTTAAAATTCTAGATGAATCTGCGGCTTAGACTAGAATATGCTGGGATCTGATCGGCCTATGGTGGAGCAGTACGGCAAGAGATAAGGGCTTGCGGCTCGGTGATACTCCTCCATAGATCCCTACCGGACGGGCGTAACGCCTAAAAAACCGGATATATATATATATATATATATATATATATATATATATATATATATTAGCTACCTGTTGAATATATTTTTAATAAACATTTCTAATTCGTCATCAAATTGCCTCGTGTTTCTCAATGGCACAGTAAGATTAATTTTTTGTTAAGGTTTATTTTGAAGCTCTTTTAGTCAGTGTTTTTATTCGTCAATATTGGATTAACCTCTTTTTGATCACTGTATCACTCATAGTTAAAATTCTAAATAACTACTATATATAACTAAATAAAAGAAATCTATCAAGTCTGGAATTTTGTTCCTATCGGTAGGCCATTATGTTGGTCTACCAATAGATATTGCTTCACCCTTTTGTTCAGCTGACAATAGTTCTTTTCTTTAAGTTGTAGTTAGCCTAGAACATCAGTAGGTATTCTTTGCATTAGAGTCGCCACCGATGATGCGTGTTTTTCCTAGTGTTCATAAACTCTATATATTGTTCTCTTTTAATGGAATGTCTAGGAGGACAATATATTGAATTTATATTTACGGTATGTATTCACACATACTGTTGTAGCTTGTATGTGCTCAGTTGTATATTTTTATTCCTCATGATGCAAGATGTTGTCTTTAATTATGATAGAGCTTCCTCCTTTAACTGCAGTATCTGGCTATACAGTAGAATATACTCTCGTAATTTTATATATGACTATTTAGTAAAACGTGTTTCAGAAAAGAGACACACATCAATTTTCTCAATGTATAGTACTGCTTGCAACTCCATCTGATGTTGGTATAGTCCATTTGCGTTTTACGCGATTATTTTAAGGTCCTTAGCCATTTCTAATTTTCGGAATTGCTCATAAAGCGCTATGCTCTATTCGGGTAACTGTGATATCGATTTAAGTTATTTTGTCATTAATCTTGTTAAGCTTTTTCAATATCATTTTTAATTCAATATCAGTTTCTTTTTCTTGTTGCAATGGTGCATGTCTCCTTGCATTCTTTGTGACATCGCTGTAACTTCTATTTTGACTGACCTCTACCGCTTTTAGTTTTTTACTTTTAATAGCCCTATAGGGCGCTTTTATAAGATTGTCTTTGTTTGTTCTCTGGTTGCTCATTGTTTGTAATTTTTTGCTAAGTAACATCCGCGATAGTTTGTAGGATGGTTTTCTCCGCAATGAACACGTTTTGGTTTATCTTCCAGTGGTTTTTGGTAATCTTTAGTAAGGTATTTACCAATACATTTTACACCTCGTGGTTCCTTTTTACAATATTTCCACGTGTGTCCATAAGCTTGGCATCTTTA